CACGTGAAAAAAAGCCACTCACTTGGGTTTAAGTGGAAGGACAGAGAATTTTAAAAGATCACAAAGGTGTATTTACTCTCCCTTTTGGTATAGGTCACCTGAGGAGTAAAATAGTCTCCAAGCTAAATAAAATGCAGACAATCTCTGACTCCCAAACTCAAGAACAGGAAATCCCTGAAATGAGACAGCATTCATATTCTGTCTTAGCCACAGCCTCCTTTTATCCTTTTCCCCCCTCTTCTCCCCTATCTCTCTAGTCTCCTTAGGGAAGACAATACAAAAGCCAACAAAATGAGAGAAAGCTACACACATACACCAAGAAAATAAAGTCAGAGAGCTTGAAAACAGAGACAGAGCTTAGCAAATGTCTTTGACTCAGCACTTAATGTTGTTCCAACTCTTTCTCTCTTTTCATTATGTTGCATATCCTGCAATATGATTGGGGCAGGGGCAGGGCTTCTTTGAATTGTCGGTTAAGCAAGTTAAAACACACACACAAACACACACACACACCCCTCCATGTTCAAATTGGAAAGCACTGGCCAATCGCAGGAAATCCATCAGTTCTTCTGAGGGGGGTGTACAAGAAACAAGTTTTGGTTGCTAAGCATGGAAAATAAACCAGTAAGTGAGTGACATCACTTCAGAGTTATGAATTGCGGACTGTGAGAGATGGGCGGGACTTTGTACATACACACAGAGTCTTAAAAAAAAAAAAATCAGTTTTCCTGTCCTTTTCAGATCTGGAACTAGCTTTCCTTCAACAGATAGGTGGACGTGGACTTCGCTTTTTGAATCCTAATGGAGAGCAAGGAAAAGGAGTAGATTTTGCTTTTCTTTCAGAAGGTCAGATGGAAACCTTTCCGCGGTCCCATTTTTCGGACCCCAGTCTCTCTTTCTAAAGCAGTGTTTTTGAAAGTGTGGTACTTGGACTACCCGCATCACAATTATGTGGGGTGACGGAAGAAGCACAGCGGTGCTTGTTATAAATGCAGATTATGGGCCCAAGTCGAGACCTATAGTTGCTAAAGCTCTGGGATAGGATTCAGGAATCTGCATTTTAAATTAGCTCCCCGGGTAATTCCGACACCGTCAAGTTTGAGAGGCATTGTCTCAAAGAAGCATCAAAAAGTCAAGGAAGCCCCCGCAGGCCTTTTTAGGCGTCCCGTCCCCCGGTAGCGCTTAGCAAGTATGGTAGCCAAGAGTAACTGCCGAATTTTTAAGGGGCCATCCAGACCACCTACATTCTCCCAGCCCAGGAGCCCCAGAATTTGGGAATAAGTGAGAAAACTCTTTGTAAGCTTTGAAGCGCGACACAGAAGTCGGAGCGTTTCGCAGCTCACAGGTTTACTCCCGCCCGCAGGAGTCCGGACTGAATGCTCCCTCCCCACTGAGCACAGTTCGGCCGCCCCTTGCTTGGTTGGCCCTGCGCCCAACCCCAGCCCCAACCTCTCCCAGGACCGCCGAGTCCCCGACCAGTGGCATCACTGCCGGACCCTTCTCGGCCCCTTCTGGCACTCACAGGTCGCCCGGGACGGGCCCGTTCCTCTCCCCTCCATGTTTCTCCTTCTTCCAGGTTTGAATCTCCCGCCGCCCGGCCACCGCCCCTCATCGTAGCCACAGGCAGACAGGACACGTCCTGTCTGTGCCGCAGGGGCCTCTGGGATTTGTAGTTCCAGGCTTGGGAGGTGCGCCGCCAGATGGGACGAAGGGTACTGTCCAAGACGGGGAGGGGCGCTCCCGGAGGGGAGCTCCCGTTCCTGTGGTATTTTGGGTCGCTGTTTCTCCAGGGCTCCTTCGCTGTTAAACCGTCTTATTTGAAGTAGTCCCTGCGCCTACCCCTGCCTCTATCATTTTCCCCTGGTATTCCCATTAACCCCCCACACACACTCTTCCTATAGTGTTCTTTGGTCCCTTTAACTTGAGGGCCTACTATATATATATATATATATATATATATATATATATATATATATATAAGGGAATATTAGCCATAAAAAGGAATAAAATATTGCCATTTGTAGCAATGTGGATGGACCTAGAGAATATTATGCTTAGTGAAACCAGACAGAGAAAGGCAAATACTATATGGTATCATTTATACGTGGAATCTAAAAAATAATACAACTGAATGTATATACAAAACAGAAACAGACTCACAGACATAGAAAACAAACTTGTGGTTACCAAAGGGGAGAGGGAGGCAGAGAGGGACAAATTAGGGGTATGAGATGAACAAACTACATAAAATAGAGAAGCAATGAGGATTTACTGTATAGTGCAGGGAATTATACCCAATATCTTGTAATAACCTGTAATAGGATATAATCTGCAAAAGCACTGCATCACTATGCTGTACACCTGAAACTAACACAATATTGTAAATCAACGATACTCAATTAAAAAAAATTCAAAGGACTGGATGAAGTTTTTGAGGAAGAGCTTGTAAAATAAGAAATGAGCAAAGGGCAGAGTGTTGGGGAACACTAGCATTTAAGAGGTGGACAGAGGGCAAGCAAAGGAGATGGAGAAGGAGTTGTCAGCACAGGAGAAGGACAGCCAGGACACAGTGGGTCGTGGAACCAAGTGAGGAGAGAGTTGCAAGGATATATCAGATACAGCAGGGAATCAAACAAGAAAAATGATTCAGAAATGATCACTAGATCATTGAGAGGTCATTGGAACCTTGGTGAGAACGGTTTCAGTCCCTGCTCCCTCCCCAAATCCTCCTCTCCCCTTAAGAGAGGCTACTCAGTGAAGAACAGACTGAGCTGCATATTTGGCTCTGGCTATGCTGTGGTAACATCCTGAAGGCCCAGCCCATGGGCAGAAACCGCAGGCTGCTAGGAGAGCCGGCCTCGGGCATGGGCACCATCTGTGGCACACAGCACCAGGCCTGCACGCAGCAGGCACTCAGCAGAGGCTGCCTGGCAAATGCAGGTGAGCCCAAGTACTTCCTTATAATTTTGTTTCTGGCCATGGCCTCTACTTAAAAGAGGCCTTTCTCCCAGATAAATGAGGACATTTGCTTTCTGATGCAGGCCACCCTTGGTGAGTTAGGGCAGTAGGTGCCTGTTGTCCTGGGGCCTGCTGTCCTCTCATTAAGCAGAACCTGGAGGTTGCAGATCAGTGGAGCTGGAAAAAGGAGTTCCGGGGGCAGAGAGGCTCTTCTGATCTCCAGACCCTTCCTGACCATCAACCTTTCACCCTGTTTCCAAATGTGAAACTACCACACAGAAGCACAGTGTATAAGAGTGCGTGTGTGTTCGTGTGTGTATGTGTGAAAGGGTTCACTTCTGGGACAACCCAAGCCTCATTAAAGCTCGCAATTACGGTTAGTGGAAGGGACCTTAGGCTAATTAGCCCAGAATCAGAAAACCTGGGCTCTAATCCTAGCTACATGAGTGCTCTGTGACCTCAGGCAAGTTACATCTGCTCTTCTGAGGTCCCTTCCTCTGTGAAATGAGGGAATGGGATAGACGATCTTTGAAGCTGTGACTAGTAACAAGCCCTTGATGCTTTGATTCTTGCCTGAAGTGAAGGATTGATGCGTGTGTCTGCAAGGGTGGGGAGAGGTGGGGCAGGAAGGGCAATGGAATTCAGGTATCTGTGCCCAAGCACCAGCAGGGTTCAGCACTAAGATAGGGCATTTGAGCTGTCAATCAAAGAATTCCCTAGGAGTGGAGGGAGGTACCTGGTTGTCTAGGAACCCCAGGGGCTCTGAGCTAAGAGATAAGGGAGGTAACCCTAGCCTGAGGGACCATTCCAGAAAGCCAGCTACAGAGGAGATCGAGGGAGGTAAGGCGTTTTGTGTCTGGGGCCCCAAGACCTTGTGGGGGCAGCCGGGAATGCCTCAGGAATGCGGGTCTCAAAGAGACAGGATTCCTGGCTGTTCTTAGGAACAGGGGGAGTTTCTTTGAAAAGAAAATGTATCACCTCTGCCTGTTTCTCCTAAAGAAAAAAAAAAGGGGAGAAGAAGAAGCAAATGGGAGGGGCTGAGAGCTCAGCTACTGGATCTTTTCCACTCCTTTTCCTGTCTCTTGGGAGGAGAGTTCATGAAAAGGCTTTGCCTTTTTGGGGGAGAGATACTAATGGGAAACACATGCTGATGAGAGAAATGTATTTGGGTTTAAGAGTGCCCTGGAGACCAAAGCAGGATGTTGGGGGACTGAAACTAGTAAGCAGACAGAAAGCCAAGGAGGTAGGGGAGAAAGAGGTTCCCCTCGAGATAGGGAGTAAGCAGTAAATGGAGAGACAGTAGCCCTGCCCCTGGACGTTGGCTCCTTGCCAATTCCATGGCCTATGCACCTTTGTGCCACCAGTGCCTTGTGTGGCTCCTTCCCGGCACACAGCAGGAGCTCACTGTTTGGTGAGCTGACTTGAACTATACCTTGAGATTAGACAGCAGGAGAACCTAGATATGAGTGGGTGTCTTTGGAGGCACAGGGTGAAGGAGATGGTGGAGAAGAGGCCCTGTGTGTGCTCTGTTCGTTCATCCATTCATTTATTCATTCAATAAACCTTTTTTATTGTGGTAAAATCTATATATATAATAATAATCTAATGATCTATAAAACTTTTTCATCTCATTCAATAAGCATATATTGAGAATCTATGTGCCAGACCCTTCAAGTTGCTCCAAATCTAGTAGGGGAGATAGACAAGAAAGTCAATAACCCTAAACCCAGTGTGATAAATGCCGTAAAGGACATAAGGTACTATGGGGGTACAGAAGAGGGACCCAGTTGGTTGAGGGGAGGGGCTTTGTGAAGGAAGCTTGAAGTGAGTCTTGGAGGACAAAAAACCAGTCTGGACATTAGAGTGAGAGTTAATATGGTGTTCACCGGGTTAGATGAAGCAAAGTGAGATGTCAGAGAGAAATCCTTGACACCCTGAGGGTCACACCAGGGCAGAGGTAGAGCTGAATTGCCTAGAGGGATAGTGCTTTGGAGGAAGCCAAGGATGACATACTGACCCCTCTGCTCCCTATCGTCAGCACTATGTCTTCCCTCAACACTGAGGATACCCTGCAAGAGCCCTCGCCCTCGCCTTCAAGCTCCAAGAAGAAAAAGAAGAAAAGAAAGTGGCCACTGCAAGAGGCCAGAATCCAAGCCCTCACCAGGGCTGGCCACAGGGCCCTACTGGCTGGTCAGAATCATGAGGCCTTGACCAGCTTCCAGAGGGCCTTCCTCCTGGCTTCCAAGTCACCACAAACCAGGGACACCCCTGTTCTCCGGGCCTGTGCCTTCAACCTGGGGGCTGCCTACGTGGAGACTGGGGACCCAGCCAGAGGGCTTGAGCTGCTCCTACGAGCTCAACCTCAAGAGACAGCCCAGGGCGGGTGTCATGGCGACCAGTGTTTCAACGTGGCTTTGGCTTACCACGCCCTGGGCGACCTGCCTCAGGCTTTGGCCTGGTATCACAAGGCCCTGGGCCACTACCAGCCACTAGGTGACCAGGGGCAAGCCCAGGCAAAAATGGGAGCCTGCTACCAGGCTCTGGGACAGCCTGAGCTAGCAGCCCACTGCCTGCAGGAAGCGAGCCGGGCCTACGCCCAAGCAGGGCAACCCAGGGCTGCAGCCCTGACACTGGAGGCTGCAGCGGGCTGTATGCTAAAGAGCGGGCAGCATGGGGTGGGTGATGTGCTGCAGGTGCTGGAGGAGAGCCGGAGGCTTGCTGAGAGGAGCACTGAGCGAGGACTGCTGGGTGAGGCCTTTGGGCAGAGAAGGTGCGGGATCTGGGGAGATTAAGACTTGGTGATACTCTGAGAAGCGGGGTGGAAGCAGAGGCAATTCTGAGGACTGGGGGAACCCTGGGAAAGTGGGGCAGAGGCTGCAGCGGTACAGCTTCAGCTGCATCTGACCTGGCTACCACTGACCGTGGCCATGCTCTCTAGGGCAACTCTATAACGACCTAGGCGTGGGCTATTCCCAGCTCCAGCTGTTCCCGCTAGCAGCAGAGGCCTTCCAGCAAGCCCTGCCCCTGTGCCGGGGGCCAGGAGAGGAGGCCACGGTGCTAAGAAACCTTGGGATGGCCCACAATGCCCTCGGCAACTATCAGGAAGCCCGGAAGTTTCACCAGAAGGCTGCCGACACACACGGTGGGTACCAGGGGCTGGGGAATGGGATTGGGGCCAAGGGACTAAGAAGGAGTTCCAGCTGGGGCCCGGAGGCTGAAGAGTAGATGGATGTTTAGAACTAATTATGGGACTGGGAAGTCCAGAACAGGGGAGTGAGGGTGTGCAGGGGGTGCAGGAGATGGGATAGCCAGACAGGACAGAGGGTCATGGGCCCAGAGGCTGAGGCCTGGGGTTGGGAAGGCAACAATGGGCAGAGGGAAGAGCCCTGGCTGGTAGAGGAGGCCTGAAGTGGAGCCAGTGCTTGCTCTAAATGATTGTGTGACGTTTAGCAAGTCATTTTTGCTTTCTGAGCTTCAGGTTCTACGTGTATAAAAACGGAGCTGTTAATACGTGCCTTGCCTGACGCCCTGGATTTATACGTGGCTCAAACTAGCATGGGGGAGGCATTCAGGCCAAAGCTCAGGACTGAGGAGAGGCTGGGTTTCAAGCGTTCAGGCCTCTGTGGTGCATCTGGAGGTGTGCCAGGGTTGAGCACAAGGACTCCTGGCAACCCTCCCTTTGTCTTTGGGGGTAGGGTCCTGATGCCCCAGCAGCCAAAGTCCTCTCTTCATATGGGGCGGGCTCTATCACCAGGCTCTGTGGGGCAGCGGTGGGAGCAGGGCCGGAGCTTTGGAAGCCTGGCATTTGCACTGAGCCAGCTGGGAGACCACAAGGCTGCCAGAGACAACTATCTACATGCTCTGCAGGCTGCCCGGGACACTGGTGAGGGTGAGGGGGTTTGCAGGTGGCTTGGGGTGGGACAAAGGCTGAGAATCCTTGGGGCTGGTGGGGAGGCAGATAGGGGGACTGGGGGTGGGGAGTACCTCTGGAGGTGTAGGGAGCTGTGGGAGGACCTCTCAGGCTGTCTTCCCCAGGGGACGTGAAGGGGCAATGGCAGGCCTGTGAGGGTCTGGGGGCTGCTGCAGCCAGACTGGGGCAGCATGACCAGGCTTTGAAGTACTATAAGGAAGCGCTGGCCCGGTGTCAGGTGAGACCCTCCATCCCAGAATCTAACTCTTCCCCAATATCCCTCCAGCTGCTCTCCTGCTATCCTTTCTCTGGCTGATATTCCTGCCTTCTCCCCACCATTCATTCACTCGTCCGACGTGCATTGAGCACATTGTGTGCTAGGTCCTGGGACACTCTTGAGAGGAAGAGTCCATCTCTGTCCACAATTCTGGGCAGGCGGTGGCAGGACCCTGGCAAAGGCATGGGGATGGGCTAGAAAAGAGGGGAGACCAAGTCCCCTTCCCTCCCCCTTCCCTGTTTCTTTCTTCCCCGATCCCCAGAGGACCACAAAGCCCAGGCTTCCTCCATTACTCCATTATCCACTCTCTCCCCAGAAGGAGCCAGATTCTGTGCGAGAGCGGCTGGTGGCCAAGCTGACAGACGCCATAAGGACCCACTTGGCCCGGGGTGGGCTGCTCCCAACCCACACCCTGGTGAGATGACACCTGAGACAAGGAGCGGGGGGTGGGGAGAGGTTACCCAGAGAAAGGGGTGGTGGTGAGCAGAGCTGATGTCCTCAGGGCTGCTGCTGCACTTGACTGCTCATCTGTGTTCATCTGCCCTGGGGCCTGCATATGGGACATATATCACTTTCCAGAGGCCACCTGGGGATGGGGAGGTGGGCGGGGGATTGTGGCACGTCTCCAACACTAGGGCTGTGCCAGGGCCTTGGCTGAGTGGTAACTAGCTCAGTGGGTGAAAGCCAAGGTGTGCCTTCAAAGATACTGAGCAAAAAATCTGTGAGCAGGTGGAAAGGTTTGTCCTTGGCTGCAGTTCCCCAAAGGGCCACAGGATGGCAGTAGTGCTCCAAGGACGTTCCTCTCTCCCCTCCCTCCTTCGCTGGGGGGCATTTCTCTGTGGGTCTCTAGCCGTGCCCCTCCTTCTCTGACCCCTCCTCCCCCTCTCGCTACCTCCCAGCCTCTCTCAACAGGTCAGCGTCTCTCCAGCTGCCTCCTCCCTCACACTCTGAGATTTCTCAGGCAACCTCCTATGCCAGGAATTGAAATTATACTTTACTATTTGTTATATTTATTTACTAGGTTTTATGTTCTGTCTTATTTGAAAGACTAGGACACCATATTTATAATTTGCAAGTAAAATTAAATTAGCCTGGTATAAGCAGAGGACTGGATTGGGGGTCAGAAGACCTGGGTTCCATCTGAAGTTGGCCACCGACTTTGTGTGACTTTGTCCCGGAGGCCCCAGGCAGGATGAGGTGCTCATTAAGCTCTGGCCAGTTCTGACAGTCCATGAGCCCGAGTTCTAACTTGAGAGTTACTAGCAGGGACCTTAACACAACAAAGGGCCTTGCCCTGTAATTTCATCCTCAGACACAAGGCACAGCCCAGCTGTCTCTAGCACTTCTCTGTCCCTCTGGGGCCATTGTGTGTGGAGAGAACATACATGCACACCACAACCACTGCTGGGGTGGCCATTTTTCTCAAACTGATTCCCTTTACTCTCCTTCATTCCCAGACCTCAGCTCCAGGGGGGCCCCAGGCTCCAGGTGGGGCCTGCCCCGTGGTGGGGACCCCAGCCAGGGTGGGAAAAGGCACAGCAGGAGTGCGGCACAGGTGAGTGAGTAGGGCAGGCAGGAACAGAGCTTCAGGTGTGGGTATGGCCTCTGGAGGGTATTGGGAGGTGTCATAGCCTAGCCGTGGCCGGTGGGATCTGGGGAGGGGGGGATCTGGCCGGAGTGCCACTCTGCCCCCTGTTCCCTGCCCCTACAGATTTTCCGATAGGTGGGAAGATGAGTTAGAGGAGGGCCACAAGGGGAAAGAGGAAGAGTCGGCGAATGTTCTCACGACGGCTTGGACACCAAGACTGGAGCGTGAGTCTAAGTAGGCTGTTTCCAGCTGTGCATCGCCTTCCCCCAAATGGGAGACTCTCATTTCCTTTATCCCCACGCCCCACTCTGTCACTTCCCTGCCTCAGGTCTGATACTGAGGCCGCACCCCACACACATTATATTCCCAACCCCAGGACCAGCCCTCCCCACTTTCTGCTTGTCTCTCAAGGCCCTGGCCCATTTCCCCTAAACCCTTTCCTGAATCGCCTCTTCCTCCCTGCTTCCGAGGCTTCCCTAACATCTAGAACATTGTATCTTGGGGCACCAAGGCTTTCACCCCTATTACATGCCAGGCACTGGATGCTTTTCTTACCTTAGCTTACTGTTTACTAGTCTCTTCCCCCAAAGTCTTGGCACTCTGAGGACAGAGTTCCTTGCTACTTGGTGACTTGAATTCACTGATGTCTTCTTTTCAGTGTGTTTTCTTCCAGGCATCAGTGACACTGGTGAATCATCCCCAACTTTAGTCGGCCCAGGTTTGCCAAGCACCTGCCCTGTACAGGTGTCTCCTCTGTGTACAGTGACCAATACATCCCCTGATACCCACCCTCCTTGTTCTTCTCCCAAAGATGTCTCGTTCCCACCATGATGGTTCTTGGTGCAGAGAGGCCTGTGATGAATGTGTTTGGTCCTCTCCATTCAGGTCCAAGACCCAGGGCCAATCTCTCATTTGGAGGCCAAGGCCCCCTCAGAATGGAGAATCCTGGCCTTCTGGTCACCAACGGCCCCCACAGCAAGAGGTGGGTCCCTGCGGGAAGGGAAGAGGCCTGGAGAATGGATAAAAGAAGTAGGAGAGGGTGTGGCTTTGGATGACTTTAATGGAACATGAAGTTGGGGGAAGATGTGGTCTGGTGCTCAGGGATATGGTGCTTTGAGCCTCTTTGTCTTTGCCCTTTAGCAATCGGAACAACCCTCACCCGGCTCTGGAGGCCCAGGGTGTCCCCTGCCTCCTGCACAGCCTGAGTGTAGCCCTCAGCGAAAGGGAGAGTCCTGCTGAACTGGGGGACAGGCGGCTTAAGCCTACTCCCTCCTGCCCTGGAGCCCGCGAGCAGAGGTAAGGGTCAGAGAGGGTAACAGAAACGGGAGCCAGGGCAAGCTGCCTTCTGTTTGCTCCCTAGTCACTCCCATTGGCAAGCCCCTCTCTGCCTCCTTCAGGTCATCCAAACAGCCCAGGGAACCCCCCAGCAGGAACCCTCGGAGGAGATCCACTGAGTCTGGCTTCTGCATGATCATGTGACCCTCCCCTGTTGGCCACAGCATGGCCCCTACAGTACCTCCTCAACATACACACTTCAGGGGCTTCTGGGGCTGAGCCCCTTCCCAGTCATTCCCAGTGAGCACTGTATGGACACAGAATACAATGTCAGAAAGTGGGATCCGGAGCAGGCTGGACAAAGGCTTTGCAGTCTCAGCACTGAGGAGGTCTGTGTGCTCCTCGTTGGGATTTTTGGACTCAATAAGCAAAAGAAAAATGGAAAACGGATGGTGAATTTCCCCCCTTTCCTTCTGGATTCAAACCTCACAACTGCTAAGGCCCCTGCCAGTTCTTAAAACCATGACATCTTGGTTAAGAGGCTTTGGAGTCACTGACTCCATTTTCTCACATGAGAAATGGCGATCTAATGCTACAGAAGATACGCCTTAACCAACCAATGGATGCATTCCTCTTCCTCCAGGAAACATAGCAGATCCTGGATACAGGCCCCTCAGGCCTGTAGCAAAACTGCTGCCAGCAGCTGCAACAACAGTATTATGTAACACTGATCACTTAGCACATGCCACACACTGTTCCAAGTGCTTCACAAGTGTCTTCTCCTTTAATCCTCACAGCAGATGAATCCCCTTTCACAGATGAGGAAAACAAGGCACAAAAGTTAACTGGTTTGCCACCCAGGTCACACAACTAGTAAGTGAAGCTGCGATTCAAACCTAGGCAGTGAGAAGCTTCTAGAATGCTGTGCAGCCAGTTCTACTCCGCCAGTTAAGCCATTGCTTACCGAGTTGGTTGTGTTTGATACCAAATGTGTTTATTCCAGTTGTGTTATTGTAATATGTAATTTAATTAAATTGATAAACTAAGAGTGTGAAAATAAGCAGTTTCTATGAAAACTAAATTGAATCCTTAGAAGACGTGATTCAGGTGACTCACCTTAAAAACTGCTGTTGAATTAGATGTAAGCAGAGAGACTATTACAAATTGGGGGAAAATCATAAAAATCTAGATGAATTTTGCACTCAGTTTGCTTCAAATATACAATAAATTTTTTTCCACCTTAAGGACACAGACTGCAAATTGCAGGTGATATGTAAGTGGTGAAGTTTATGAGATAAAGAAGATGGAGAACTACGATCTTTGGCCCTATCCTCAGAGACAAGACCCTGGTCACACTTTGACAGATGGCAAATGAATGGGTTTTTTTGGCCATGCCATGCGGCTTGTGGGATCTTAGTTCCCCCACCAGGGATTGAACCCTGGCCCTCGGCAGGGAAAGCGTGGAGTCCTAACCACTGGACCGCTGGTGAATTCCCTGTATTTTTTGTTTTAAGTTGAAATAAGATCATGTACTCCCAGTCATGTCAGATAAGAGCATGTACTGTACTGTGAATTACTTCACAATGAAATTTTGAGGATGCATTAAAATATTTGTAGAGGACCTACTATGTTCCAGGCACAGAACTAGGTGCAGGGGACACAGCTGTTAATCTTCCTTATCTAAATGGAGCTTATTATCTTGTCAGGCATTCAAGATGTCTTGACTGGGATGCAGATTCACTGACTGTAACAAAAACCAATATAACATTGCCTTTAAATAGAGAAGAATGGATTTCGAGGGACAAGTAGCAGCATCTGTCACACGAGAGTATTGCTACTGGGTCAGGCCAACCCAATATCAACCATCATTGGTTCTACCATTTCATAGCTATATTATCTTAGGAAAATTACTTGACTTCTCTCTGCTACTCAATTTCTCATCTCTAACATGAGGATAAAAATACATCATAGGATGGACAGGATTAAATTAGATAATATATGTAAAGCATCTGGAACTCAGTAGGTGCTCAATCCACATGCCCTTCTTGAACTGGTTTTGAAGGCATTTCCCAAAGAAAACTCCAGAATCTGAAAGGCAGCAAGGTGGACTAGGGCACTTAGGCACTGCCTTCCTGAGGATAGCCCTCATTTGGCTGTTTCATAAATTGTGAGTGTGTGTGTCATGATTTTATAGTTACGTCTCATCAGAATGAGGTCAGCAATTGACAACCCTTTAGTTACATAGTTCTGCATTTGGAGAGGCATTTCAGCATAGAATAATGCTTAAGACTACATACCCTAGGGGCTTCCCTGGTGGCGCAGTGGTTAAGAATCCGCCTGCCAATGCAGGGGACACGGGTTCGAGCCCTGGTCCGGGAAGATCCCACATGCCTGCCGCGGAACAACTAAGCCTGTGTGTCACAACTACTGAGCCTGTGCTCTAGAGCCCACGAGCCACAACTACTGAGCCCAGGCACCACAACTACTGAAGCCCGTGCACCTAGAGCCCATGCTTTGCAACAAGAGAAGCCAATGCAATGAGAAGCCCGTGCACCGCAACAAAGAGTAGTCCCTGCGCGCCGCAACTAGAGAAAGCCCACGCACAGCAACGAAGACCCAACACAGCCAAAAATAAATAAGTTCATTAATTTAAAAAATAAATAAAAATAAAAACACTGAAGAGCACTGCATACACAGCAGCCCTTAAAAAAAAAGACTACATACTCTAGGTCAAGCTGCTTGGATCCTAGCTCCACTGACAGCTATCACTGTATCATTGGACATGTCATTCAACACCTTTGAGCCTCAGTTTTCTCATCTGTAAAATGGGGATAATAACAGAGTTGTAAGGATGAAATGAGATGATTCATGTCAGCACTGGGCACATAAACTCAAAATGTTATCTATGTCAAAGAAGCATGCTTCACATTGTGTTTTAGAAATGAATCTTCAGAATTACCAAATTAATTTTCTCAAGTAGGCCTGTAGGGAGTCTTGACTAATATATAAAAGTGAAACTACTTATATACCGGTGAAGTTATAAAACAAAGTTAATGAGGTCTTGAATAAGATTATCCAATTGTAATGTAAACCCTACATTTCAATTTAGATGAGTAAACTCTACGAGTAAACCACAAACAAAGTCTAACAAAAACAATTTTCCACCGCAATCACAGTCTGATACATTCAATTTCCCACAGCAAACATGTAAAACAAACATAGATGAAGGCCAAGGGTACAACCCATAGGAGATGTTAAACCTCTTATAATTAAAAAGGAGACTATCAGAGGAGTAGTTAAAAGCAGGAGGGGTTCTTGTTTTCTCAGTGAACTAGCCGGGAATGGAATTCACGATACAGAAAAAGAATATACTAGCATAGAAACAAGACCTTCAATCCTGTAATAAACCATAAAGGAAAATCGAAAAAACAAACAAACACAAAAACCCAAGACCTTCATTCCACCTGGATAATTATCTTTATCTTAATGCCTTAATGTAACTGGTCTGTTATTCCCCATACTTCTCTCTTAACCCGGCAGGAGTGTGTTTGCATTCTTAAAAGCTCTTGGGTTACAAGTTTAGTCTTCCTCTCCAGGTTTTTCTTGAAATATTATCGTGACCTGGAGTCTAGGGTTTCAACTACATTTTTAATCTTGGCATACCCAACCTATTTAAGGTTTATACTTTTCTATTTCCACAGCTATTACCCGATGAAGAGGGATAAGTATTATGTATGATCAGGGAAGTACAGAGTGCTCTCCTGGTAAACAGAGATAGGGGAAGCTAATTTGGTGGGGAGAGGGGTACTAAGTTATATGAAATGCTTAGCAGTGTGAATAAGAACATTAATTTATTAAGCCCTATGTACCAGGCGCTGTCGACGACTTTGCATGGATTACCACCCGATGAAGTATGTACTCGTATCCCCATTTTATAGACAGGAGACTGAAACCTGGAGAGCCAAGTTCACTCAGCCACTAAGTGGTAGGGGAGGAACCCGGGCAAACTGCTATGCTATACAGCTTGCTGAAAGAGCTACGAAAAACAAGCATTATTATCAAAGGGCGGTTGGAAGCAAAGCACTTCGGTCATCTGTGAGGCAATATGAAAATGCTCCCGCGAAGGGCTGGCATCTAGACAAAGCGCCCGGACGACGTGGGGCCGGGGCGGGAGGGCGCTGTCGCGCATACCAACACACGGGGGAGCGGTGGAGTCCCACTACCGGTCCCGCCAGCTCCAGGACCACCTCCTTCAGGGGCGCGCGCGGCCCCGGCCTCTCGGGGGCGGGACGAGGGGCCGCGCATGCGCCGGGCGCGGCTGGGCGAGGCGGGGCGGGGCGGGGTCGCGCGCTCTGAGAGCTGAATGTCCGGGCTGCGGGCGCTCCTGGGGCTCGGGCTGCTGGTTGCGGGCCCGCGCCTATCGCTCCTCAGAGTCCAGGCCGGCGCCTGTCGCGCGGGAGCCACCTGGTGGGGGCCGCAGCGGCTGATCTCGGGTGGCCGCGGGGACTCAGAGGGCATGGCGAGCTCAGCAGTGAAGTACCTGAGGTTGGACGGGCACGTGCTCTCTGGGCGGGCACGCTGGGAGCGGGACTTGGGTGGAAGCCCCCCCCCCAGGGGCGGGACCTGGGCCGCGCCGCCTGCGCGACGGAACACCTGGGGGAAGGGGACTCAGGCTGTGGGTTTCCTCAGCCAGGAGGAGGCCCAGGCCGTGGACCAGGAGCTGTTTAACGAGTACCAGTTCAGCGTGGACCAACTTATGGAGCTGGCCGGGCTGAGCTGTGCTACAGCCATTGCCAAGGTCAGTGGCACAACTCTCCACCTAAAGGGCAGTCACTGTGCAAGCCACCTGGCCTAGGCACAATGAAGTGGGAGGGACGGCCAGGCCGAGACTGGGCTGTCACTGCCCGAAGCCCTTCTGAATCCCCTTTGACTCTGCCTTCAGGCATATCCCCCCACGTCCTTGTCCAGGAGCCCCCCTACTGTCCTGGTCATCTGTGGCCCCGGGAATAACGGAGGAGATGGCCTGGTCTGTGCTCGACACCTCAAACTCTTTGTGAGTATGTGGGGAAGGGCTGTCGGGGAGAGTATGAGGTTTCCAGGACCTGGGCTTGAATCACCCCTTTCCTTTCCTCATAGGGCTACCAGCCAACCATCTATTATCCTAAAAGGCCTAACAAGCCACTCTTCACTGCACTGGTGACCCAGTGCCAGAAAATGGACATCCCTTTCCTTGGTGAAATGCCCCCAGAGGTAGGTGGTTCCAGTTCACTGCCCTCCTCAATACTGCTGCCCGTGTTCTGCTCTTCCCTCACCTTTCCAGACTGAGCTCATTTGCTTATCTTCCTCTCTAGAGGATTAACTCTTAGAGGGCAGGGATAGTGCCTGACACAGAAGATGCCTAAAGCATGCTATCTGAATGGAAGTGGTGTAAGAGCCTTCTCCATAAGGCGTGCTCCATGAGTTCCCAACACTACCTTCTCTTCAGCTTCATTTCCCCTTGTCACTTTTTTTTTAAATTAATTCATTCATTTATTTTTGGCTGCATTGGGTCTTCGTTGCCGTGCGCGGGCTTTCTCGAGTTGCGGTGAGCGGGGGCTACTCTGTGTTGCAGTGCGCGGGCTTCTCGTTGCAGAGCACGGATTCTAGGCGCGCGGGCTTCAGTAGTTGTGGCTCGTGGACTCTAGAGCGCAGGCTCAGTAGTTGTGGGGCACGGGCTTAGTTGCTCCACGGCATGTGGGATCTTCCCGGACCAGGGCTCGAACCCGTGTCCCCTGCATTGGCAGGCGGATTCTTAACCACTGCGCCACCAGGGAAGCCCCACTCCTGTAACTCTGCAGCCAGTTCCTCTTCGCCTAGCTTGCAGTAAACACATCATCTGCATCTCTTGGGAGCTGAGGTGACTGCCTCATCCTAAACCCTTTCTTCAGATGCTTCAGATCTTGGATTTAGGAGTGGAAAACTTGAGAACTTCTTTTTAAAATTCCTTAACACATTTTACAGATGAAGAGACTGAGATGCAAGAGAAGGGAAGTGATTTGTGCAAAGTCACAGAACCAGATCATGGCAGAGCCAAGACCAGAACCTGTCCCTCCTGACTCCAAGTCTCAGGCTGTCCTACACTGTAGCCTCCCCAATGGTTGGCAGGCACTCAGAACAGAAAATGTGACTGCACTCAGCTTGGCCTCAATCAGTGACCCACCTGCACTTAACTCTAGGCCTCAGAATGCCATCTGAACGAGATAAAATTATATTTGTAAAAAAAAAAAAAAATTATATTTGTGCCTATGTGAATGGTCTGTGGGTACAAAGGACAGCCCTCTCCTGTTAAGGGTTCTTTGTGCAGCTGCCGGCTCTGACATCCTTTCCTTTTTCTGCTCTACCACAGCCCACGCTGATTGATGAACTATACGAGCTGGTGGTGGATGCCATCTTTGGCTTCAGCTTCAAGGGTGATGTTCGGGAGCCATTCCGCAGCATCCTGAGTGTCCTGAATGGACTCACTGTGCCCATTGCCAGCATCGACATTCCCTCAGGTGCTGGGTCCAAGGAGGTTGGGGGGATTGGGGCCCTGCCCTGCCTTGAGGTAGGTACTAGGAGTCCTGGTTCTTGACTCAAGGTTCAGACCAAGTGTAGAGGTGCATACCACAGCCAGAGTAGGGCTGGGGAGCAACGTTCAGGAATGCCCTTTACAGTGACTGTCCGAGACCACAGCCCAGGAGTACATGCACACGATTTCCTCGGGTGGGGACCCAGGGGGCTTCCCACTCTTTTAGGACTAGAGTAGAGCAAGGTGTGGAAGGGGACTGGACATCTGGTCTTTTCCGCTCTTTCTGAATACCACCTTCTTTTCAGGATGGGATGTGGAGAAGGGAAACTCTGGAGGGATCCAGCCAGACTTGCTCATCTCCCTGACAGCACCCAAAAAGTCTGCAAGCCAGTTTACTGGTCGCTACCACTACCTGGGGGGTCGTTTCGTGCCTCCTGCTCTGGAAAAGAAGTACCAGCTGAACCTGCCACCCTACCCTGACACCGAGTGTGTCTATCGTCTGCAGTGAGGGAAGGCGGGCGGGCATTCTTCCCAATAGATTTAGTTCCTCTCTCCCAGAACTGTGGAGTCCTGGGAGCTCTTCTGGCAATAAAGGTTAAGAGATGGCAGGAGCCAGAGAGCAACACTGGAGATGTGGTGCCCTCTCTCTGGGGGAACAATATGCAAGAGGGGTTGCTATGACATTTGGGGGCAATGACAATTCACTTTCAGATGCTAAAAAAGGCTCCCAAGTGAGGTGTGCTGTCCTTTACACACACACAATTCTTATCAA